GGAGTGTGCAGAGAAGATGAAGTCCTTCCTTTCCCGCGACAATGACGATGACCGCTATGAAGTCTTCCATAACCGGCTGGTGCAGGCTATGGAGCCGTACATCAAGGTGTATCACGACAACATCAACGCCAGCCGTCAGCAAAGCATAACAGATTTCTTCACCCGCAACCCACCACAGCCAGCCCAAGCCAGTGATAGTGACAGTGAAGTTGACTTTGAGGGATTTGTCAGGGAAGCCCTGACAACTGTAAGTGACAGTGATGATGATTCACCTAGTAATGGTGATTCACCTGAGGGCCAGTAATCTGCCCTCTGCCTCGGAACCAGCCTCCATCCCCGTATGCCGACCCATCTCTTCTACTACCGTAAGTGTTACACAAAATTTTTAGTTTTTTAACCTATTCTTTATTTTTCCTATGTTAACCTTTATCTTTCCTAACCTAACCTCTTCTATATTACTTGTTTTTTCATACCATCATAAAGTTAAGATAAAATTTTTACTACAACATAGTTGTGTGTCGTCAAAAAGTGGAGTTTGGGGATCGGCCTGGACTCCATTTCAATTAATTCCATATGTTATGTTGTTCACTTTACGCGTTCCTCACTTTCCGCGGGACCCTCCGGGTTACATTAACCGCGTAATGTGAGGACCAACTGTGTATGTGTATATATATATATATATATATATATATATATATATATATATATATATATATATATATATATATATATATATATATATATATATATATATATATATATATATATATATATATATATATATATATATATATATATATATATATATATACTTAAAAGTAGAGGATATTAGTCACTAAAGATCTACTGTCTTCCTTGATAGAAAATGAGCGTGCGTGGTCACCATGCTCAACCAGACCATTTAAAATTTGCCCCAAACACAATATCTGAGAGACATAAACAAAATAAAAGTCACTCAATTTCCTCACCGTGCTAAGAAGTATAAATACCAAATATGAAATCGTCGCAGCACTTAGTATTTCAGCTATACAACACAAATTAGCGGAGCTTTCCTTGTGTGTATTTACAGCTGATTCGCCAGGCAAGAATATGACTGGCAGTGCGTTTGATGGAGGGTGGGGTGGGGGATTTTGAGAATTGCAGTTGAATGCCAGGTAGTGACATGTCCTCCTAATAATACGTATTTAAGTAATTAATTAGATGCTTTAATTGCCTGTATGTTGGCCTGGCGAGTTAATGCTAGGCATTTACATACCTAGGTATTAAGCTAGACATCGCATTCTGGATTGAACGAAAAGCGTCTTATATGCCGGAAAATACGACTTTTACCTACTTTTGCTTTTATCCTCTTCACCACTGATCGGCTAGTTAGCCGCTTGGGCGATCGGTTACGTCTCTGTTATGCACTGTTGGCAAGTACAGGTTGTGATAACTTATTCAAAGCTTTGTGACATCATAAATGTATAATGAGTCTCCATATGCCCTGGTTTATTCCTTGATCAGTTGTCTAAGTGCAAAAGAAGTCCTGTTGAGCTATCATGTATCAATTAGTTTTAAAATAGAAATTATAATGTAAAATGTTATAAGTCAATGGTTTAGTAGTGCTGTTAATGTGTGTGCTGTGTAAGTGTCTTGGCATGTCACCTCACCACCTGGCTCCTGAACAAACTCTTCATCAACTTCTTCAAATCCTACATTGTGCTTGGCAAGCTCAAAACACACACACACATACACACGCACGCACGCACGCACGCACAGGAATTAAGAAAACAAGCATCCAGTGAGGGTCTTGTGTGACTGCATGGAGGTGAATTCAGAAATCAGCTGTTGGAAACACTGGTGTATGTTACCAATCCATCTCTGTAATCACCCACACCTTTCTGCTTTCTCACAACATATTTTAAAATGTTATGTAATGTAATGTTGAAGGGATACAACTTTGCTCATTTATACTGATACTTATCATAATCTCCCTAAAAGTACAGGTGCTCCTCTACTTACGAACAAGTTACATTCCTGAGGCTTGTTTGTAAGTCCAACTTTATTCTTGTAGATACCAAACATATTGTAAAAAATTAAAAGATTATGGATATTTAGTACAGCTATACCCTTTAATACAGCCTTAAAGCCTGGCTCACTCTTCTCCTCTTAGGTAATGTTTATTCTCTCTGGAATTTTCTTCAAAATTATCCAGTCTCATCCATATTAAACACCTGTTCTGGCAGGTAATCCCCCACAGTGATGATGTTTGTATCTCTGAAAGTTTGTAAGTTGAACGTTCTTAAGTAGAGGAGCACCTGTACTTAGGTTTTGTGTTTATTCAAGACATCTGCAGGTCATGAGACCCACTAATCCCCACCCAAGAAATGGTGACCTGACATTCCATATGAAGGTCAGTAATATGAGACCACTAATCCCTCACCCTACCTCCACTTGACATTGAGTTAGGTCAGGTCCCCCCCCCCAAGAAAAACCCGGTTAATATTACGTATTAAATAATTATTAGATGTTTTAATTGCCTGTATGTTGGCCTGGCAAGTTATTGCTAGGCATTAACATACCTAGGTATAAAGCTAGATGTCGCATTCTGGATTGAACAAAAAATAATTTAACTTTCATCTTTATTTGAGACATTTTCAGAAAATTCTCTCGGTTTTCAGCCTCGGAAAATTTGTTCCTAAAGCTGGAAATTTTTTGGAAAATTCCGGCTTTGGGAATGATTTTCCGAGCAAATTTCAATTCCGGCTCTCGGAGATTTCTGTATCTGGGGGATTCCAGCTAACGGAGATATTATTATATTTGGTGCCACATAACACGAGACGTTGATGAGGTAGAGGAAGCCATCGCAGCACAAAAAGTTTGGAGTAAACTACTAAAACTTCACATTAATCAGTGTAGGTAGCGAGACATAGTGCGAATTCCGATATATTGAAGTCTGAGTTATCAAGTTTTTATTGAATGGCAGTATGACCATTTAAAATTGTGAGATAAAATGTGGAGTTAGATTATTGTGGATAGTAATGACAATATATTACCAAAGTGATCTGAATATAGCTTGAGGCATATGCTGGCATCTTTTGATTCTTAATATGATCATGCCTTGACACAATCAACTTCATAGTTGCTTATACACTAAACCCTTCAATACTTTGTCACACTAGGGTCTCTGGCTAAGCCAAAACACTGAATTTCTTGCATTAGACTGAATTTTTGCACCTATTTTGGGAAGATGCCAATGCTCATCTCGGTATATTGGCAAACAAAATTCATGAAATGCTAAGGTAAAATAAGTAAAGAATATTTAGACTTGATTGAAGAATGAAGTGAAGAACATGTACATGCGCTCCAAAAGGTATCTTGGCGGAGGGGTCCAACAAATTTAAAAATGAACGCCGCGACTCCTATTGTCTCAGTGGGGCTGTCAAAATCCTTCATCCGTTCTCTGTTGTGTCATATTGTTTTACACAAAATCATATAAATACTTTTTGGAGCAAATGTACAGTTGAGGTCAAAAGTTTGCTCCTGTCCAAAATGAAGCAGCATCAACCCAAAATGAGTTGAAACAATCAGGGTAAGTCAGTTTGGAGACTCATTCCTGTGATTCACTTTCACCACGAGGAGCGAAATTTTGTCCCTGATTGTACCTGTACTAATAGATATGAACTGAGGAATATTTTTTTCCATTTTACAGTATGCTTAACCAACAATTAGTTCCTTCCTTATCAAGAGTGCACATGATTTCTGCATAAATGTCTTCCCTCTGTGAAGCTCTGTGAGGGGAGGACTTGGCACAAGAAGGAAGAAAAACAGTTCTCAAATGTCACTATCATCCCCCATGATATCCTTATAACATAGAAGGTACTAGAGCTTGAGAAAAATTTGCCCATGATGCTGTGTAGGGTAGCTACACTATTCATATTTTGTGTTACAAAGGGACACAGATGTTACTTTCATATTAATGTTAAATTTATATATTTTTTTTATTTTAACAGGTTGCCTGTGAACTTTATCCCTCTCGTGTAGTGGCACTGTGCTTAGACCCATATTGTGGCCTCGGTCTGGCTTTGTGGGTCCTCTCATCTGTATATTCAGGACATCAATCCATCCTCATTCCTCCTGGTGAGGTAAGATATTTTAAAAGTTATTGCAGTAAGGTTTGTAATTTATCATTTATAGTACATTTATAGAAATTTCAACTCTGCAAGAAAAGAAATTCTAAATTTTCTTTTCCACACTACCATAGCATATTATCATCTTGTACCATAGTATATTATCATCTTGTCTCAACAGTATGGTTTGTCATTCAGAATTATTATTTACAAATGATTGCTGTTTACTAAGTGATAGCCTGAAGTTGTTGGCAATAAGTTACCCTATTCCTGATGATATATTTTTTGTCCTTTAAATTACTTGTAAATAAAGCAAGCTTCGTTGTTTAGATATTTCATCCTTCCTGCATTTATGATTTTACTTCTGATAATGAAAATTAGTCTTTCCAGGGAGATGTTAGAAGGATAAAGTAAATACAATTACAATTCTCTTTATTTCAGGTTGAGTTAAATCCCTCCTTATGGCTATCAGCTGTCTCTCAGTACAAAGTGCGTGACACCTTCTGTTCATATGGAGTCATGGAACTGTGCACAAAAGGCCTGGGATCCTCCATTGTCCTGCTTAAACAGCGAGGTGTCAACCTAGCATGTGTGCGAACATGTGTGGTTGTTGCTGAAGAACGGCCTAGGGTCCAACTTACCAATTCTTTCTCCAAGCTATTCAGTGGCCTTGGTTTATCTCCCAGAGCAGTGTCAACAAGTTTTGGCTGCCGTGTTAATGTAACAATCTGCTTGCAGGGAGCGTCATCACCAGACCCAACTACTGTGTTTGTTGATCTCAGGTCCCTCCGACATGATAGGGTAACACTGGTGGAGAGGGGCGCCCCACATTCATTGTGTATTATGGAGTCTGGAAAACTTCTGCCGGGAGTAAAAGTCGTCATTGCTAATCCTGATACCAAAGGACAGTGTTCAGATTCTCATCTTGGAGAGATATGGGTCCAATGTAATCACAATGCAAGTGGCTATTTTACTCTGTATGGAGATGATGGCACTGCTAATGATCATTTCAATGCCCAGCTTGTAACAGGCAATACAGGAGAGACATATGCACGTACGGGTTACCTTGGCTTTCTCCGCCGCACTGAATCTGTTCAAGCAGATGGAGAACTTCATGATGCAGTGTTTGTTGTTGGTGCATTAGAAGAGACTGTTATTTTGCGAGGAATGCGCTACCATCCCATTGATATAGAGATGACGGTGATGCGATGCCACAAAAAGATCTCGGAATGTGCAGTGTTCAACTGGACCAATTTGTTAGTGGTGGTTGTGGAACTGGACGGGGCAGAGTATGAAGCTCTGGATCTTGTGCCACTCATCACCTCATCCGTCCTAGAAGAACACCAAGTCATTGTTGGTGTTATTGTAGTGGTGGACCCGGGTGTAGTGCCCATCAACTCGCGTGGGGAGAAGCAGCGCATGCATCTTAGGGATGGTTTTCTGGCAGACCAGCTTGACCCTATATATGTTGCTTACAATATGTAAATAATGTGTATTACTAAGCCAGGCTGGAAAAAAAAGACATAAAATTTCTTTTAAAATTTCTATTTCATCTATTTTGACAAGAATGATTTTGTCAAAGGTGAACTCTGAAACTGAAGAAGTCAGAGATTTTCTGTACGTATATGAAAATATAACTAGTGTGATTGATATTACACAAAGGACAAAAGTGATTGATGAAGTAAACTTATCCAAAAGGGTAAAATTAGTGGTTTCCTTGTGGATTATCAACCTTGTTATATAAGCATTTGCGCTAATCCACAATATTAGCCACACATGTATGAAAGAAGTGTGTGAAGATCAATTAATTTCTACCTTTATATTTCTTGTCATAAAGATAATGGAAATTTTGAAATCTTTGAACGAGATTTATTTTCTGTTTTTACAAGTGCCATGTGCAGCCTTTTACGATTGCATTTGTAGTGTGATACAATTCAAGTGAAATAATTCAGTCATGAACTTCAGTAGATATATATATTGATAGCTTGTGATAGTGTTTGTGAGTTTTAGGAAATTTAATATGTCATATTGCTACTTAGATTTAATTTGTATCAAGATGAATGAATGCATTTCAAGTCATTTACTGACCTGAGGTAATGTTTGCCACTTGAAGTAGCCAAACAGTGTATATAGTTATATCTTGGCTCAGACTCCGGTCACTGTATATATATATATATATATATATATGGTACATTACCTATTCCCACTTTATTTAGTCTTATGAGTGGCTTTTTCGGCAATACAGTATATATAAATAGTAAACGATTTCAGTTGTTGGCACAACCGGAAAATAATTAAAATGCTGAAAAACCTGCTCGCACTCACCATGCTCTGTACATTTGTATAGCAGTAGAAATGTTCGTTAAAGTCTTGAATGCCAAGCGAACAGTTGCTTTGGTTATTACAAAGCTCCGAGTGTCGCCCGGCAAATCCAAAACCCAGAAGAAAGAATATATCCCATTTTTACTCTAAGGTGTTAAGTCAGTCACAAAATGTATGTATGTAAAAGATGCCATGTCACCAGACCATGTTGGGTATATTTTAAATGTTTAAACTAAAAATGTATTTGTAGAATTTTTTTGTGTATATTGAAACTATGCTGTACCTTACAGACATGATGGGAACTTGCATTGGGTTAGGAACAAGTAGTTTTAGTGTAGACTTGCTGAGATACACAGCACACCTTGAGACGATGTTACAGTATCATACAGATTTTATATAGAGTTTACCTTTGTGTGAAATGGGAGATTTTTTATTTTATTTTTATTTTACAGATATGAGAGTATTTCACAGTCAGCATGGCTCAAGTTGATTTTTATGGTAATGTATGACAATATATATGGTCATATTGTTGACAAGTTTTGGGGTTTCATTATTATTGTCTCAGTGTTCATTCTGGCCTTTGTACACTGAAAGATAAAAAAAAAAATTATGCCTATGTATGTCTTGTAAAATTTGGTTGACAAGAATTTTAATATGCCCTGCTTCATAGATGGGTATTAATTACAAATTTTTTGCATGTATAAATCCCCTTATATAGTCATGAATTGTCGTGTTTTGAAACGTGGCGTTTTTGTCCAAATAAAGTGTAAAGTAGGAGCAAGTATTTATCTTATATTTGGAATTTTTATATAAAATGGTCTCTATACTTTTCCACGTATGATAATGAATGGTATGGAATCACCTTCTTAGCTGTTTTACTTCTAAGTCAGTCATTTTGATTTTCAATTTTTAATTTGTTGTCTGTACAGTCTAGATAAGCATTATTGTTTGTAGTATTGCCAGTGTAATGATTTATGGATAAAGATTGTATAGATGCAATGAAAATAATTTAATCAAAACAAAAAAGATATGTATGGCTGATTGGATGAATAATCCCTTGTATTCATTTACCTGAAGGTGACGAGTGGAGTTCTACGCTCAACTTTAAAATTTTTGCGTACTGTTGTCTACTGTCGCTTTCTGAAAATTTTAGGGGTTCCAGAGCAGCTGCAAGTATCCTCTGTTTTTGTATACTGTCTCTAACATACAGTACAAGCAATAAATGTCAAGAAAAAGATGTACCAGTGTGTTTCCTTTATATTGCACACAAACTCTTTGATGCAAATTTTGTCCATATTTTTGTACACATGTATACACATGTGCATAAGTATGAATGTACAGTAAAGCCTCCGATAACAACGGTTAGACCAACAACTTTTCATATTTAAAACCCTAGTTAAATTAGGACCCAATTCAATTTACGTCCTTATTTCATTCGTATTTACGACCAAAAAATACAGGTGCTCCTCTACTTATGAACGAGTTACGTTCCAGCGGCTTGTTTGTAAGTCCAACTTTACTCTTGTAGATACCAAACATGTAAGTCCAACTTTACTCTTGTAGATACCAAACATGCAAGTCCAACTTTACTCTTGTAGATACCAAACATATTGTAAAAAATGAAAAGATTATGGCTATTTAGTAAAGCTATACCCTTTAATGTGGATGATACTGGATTATTTTGAAGAGAATTAAGGCTGTATTAAACACCTGTTCTGGCAGGTAACCCCCTTCAGTGATGATGTTTGTATCTCTGAAAGTTTGTAAGTTGAACGTTCTTAAGTAGAGGAGCACCTGTATAATGAAAATAAAATAAAATTATATTTTCATATAAATAATAATTAAATCCTGATATGTACAGTATTACAGTATATAAAAAAAAATTACTGTAAAAAAAAATGAAGAGCGCATTGCGCAAAGAAACTGCCTGGCTAATGAGTGGTAATGCGCTTCACCAGTAAGCTTCACCAGTAAACAACAGTCGGAGCTTGGCAGTCCATTTGTTTTCATGCATCTGAACAGGAACTGGAGAAAAACTTTCTCAGGTTTCTTACAGCTTTTTACATTCCTATTCAACATGAGCAAGAGAGCAAGTGATGGTAGTGTTGTTTGAAAAGCTAAGAGAAAGTGCATAAGCTTAGCCAAGAAACTAGATGTGTTAAAACGATATGAAAAAGGTGAGAGGTCTGTGGATATAATATGGAGCAAGCAATGAACATATTTTCTGAAGTGGATCCTTTAACAGAACAAAGCATTAAAATTTAAATAAATGCAAATGACCTCTACATAAAGATGTATACTGTAATGAGAAAAGAAAGCAGCTGTGCAAGGTTCTTTCAACAGCTTTATTATTCGAAGGCCTAAACCATCAACTTTCAAATTCAGCATCATACGCAGCTTCAACATCAACTTCAGGTTCAGTAACAGTAACAGCTTTATGGGCTTTATGGAAAGCTACAGCTTCAGCCAGAGTTGAACCTGATGACTTCGTCATCTGAATAAAAACTCGCACAATATTCATTGGCTGTCCTTTTGTTTGACTTTACCACCATTGGTGAGTAGAATTTTTGTTTTACATTCGTGAATATTATTCAAAATATATATGAACAGTAAATAAGTGTTGCTTTCATATTCATATGTAGTGTTTTGTGTGCCCATCAGCCGCTTGACTCACCCACCAGGCGTCAGTTTGGCTTTGTTTACAGTGGAGTGAACATCGATTTTGTTGGTGTCTGGAATATTTTTGCATTTTTACATTAACATTATTGGTCATTCTGATATTTAGTCAACATATTGATAATATATAGCGCAGTGTTGATTTAAATAAAATAATCTTGAATTACACCCAGTGAACTTAAAATTTTATTGGTGAAATTACTGCATCAAGCATGGGTTCCCTGAAAGGTGATTTCTTCTCCATCCCCTCTTCTCCCTTCTCCTTCACTCCCACTTCTAATTCCCATCATCATCATCAACCAGGAACCTTCTACATACACACCTCAAAGTAAGTGTACTTTACTGCATGTTTTTTTTTTTACTTTGTATGTACTTTTCTGTGAGCTGGAATCAATTACCCAATATCCCACTGTAACAATGGATTCGGTTAACGATATTTTCAGTTAAAACGACTGTGGAACGAATTGTGTTCGTTAACCGAGGGACCACTGTATAAACATTATTTCAATCAATACACATTCAGTAATAAACAATAATGAATCTTTTGTAGTGTTGTACATGTCAATGAAAAAAAGTGGCGCCGCCAGCGTCAGCGTAAATGGACGAGAATTTGATGCTGTCAGCGTTGGCGTAAACGATTTCATAAATTGACGCCGTTAGCATCAGTGTCAACACCTAGCGTTAACGCGTATTCAGTGACATACAAATGCAGCCCCGAAGCATGTATTCTCCTGTGTATGGGAGTAACATATGCAAAATCGAAAATATTAATTAATTTTTAATCATTTATTATGATTTATCTTATATAATTTTAATTCATTTGTTCCCCCGCAAGAATACTAGCATCTCAAAATGCTTGTCGCTCATTCTGCTGCGCTTGGGCCTCAAGACGTCCTTGCCCATGGAGAACATGCTCTCCACGGCAGCACTAGAGGGGATGGGGGTGTTGTCTTTGATGAAAAACTCCCTCCTGGCCTTGTAGGGGAAGGTGTCCTTGTCAAAAGTCTTCTTCAAATGTTTCATCCCCAGGAAACGCTTGAAAAGGTCACCGTCTCTTTCATTCCTGGGGGGGTCTCGTACAGGGCCTGGAACAATTCGTCCTCCACGTCATGGTCTTTGTCGTCTCCCTCACTGCTGCTGCTGCTCTCAGTCTCGTGCACGGACTTCTCCACCAACCTGGATAGCTGGTTGGTGGCCTTTTCCTGACTTAAAAATTCTAATCTGTAGAAAGGTGCACAGGCGGCAGGCATGGCAAAATTTTTCCTGGTCGTCTCTATAACAAGATATTTGAAAATTGAACTTGGAAAAATAAAAGTTTTCAGAAGTTGACAAACAAATTGCCGCTTGACGCTCCGCTCGGGTGAAAGGTTGACTGTGTCACCTGCCCAAAAAATTTATGGCATCAGCGTTAACAAAAAGTTGCCAGCGTTAAATTAACGGCGTCAACGTACAACACTGATTTTGTACATACAGGTATTCTGAAGATAAATGACTATGTTACCTTGAGTGCGCACGTATACATTGGCGTTCTACTGTCAGTCTCATGTTTTTCTTTAATATCAGTGGTTACTTCTACTGTACATTAAATAATATTAATTAAAACATATTTTTTACATAAATTTTACTATAGCAATAACCCAGGTCTTATTTTCTTCAGTTTCAGGTGGATAACTGACATTATGGGTGTAAACACTGAAAACAATGACATCTCTTATCCTCTTGTGTGTTTTAATATTCTACGTATTATTAATGAATTGTATTATTCATTTCGCATATGTAAAGATTAATTCAACCAAATACATATTCAGTAATAAACAATAGTGAATCTTTTGTACATATTCTAAAAAATATAAATGACGTGGTATCCTTAAATGCGCACGTGTATGTTGGCGTTCCCAATCCATCTCTCTTTTTTTTCTTTGCCATTAGTGGTTAGCTACTTCTATTGTTTCATTTATTAACATTAATCTTATGTTTTAAGTAACATTATTTAATGTAAAAAAATTAATATATAATACAGCTACAATCAGGGTCTTATTTTCTTAATTTTCTCGTGTAGAACTATAGTCCCGGACTCCCGGCTGTAAACAAACGAAAACATTGGCGTCCCATCTCTTGTATGACCATAATATTATTTATTTATATTGTATAAGGTGCATTCAGAAATATTATTTAAAGAATATAGTTTGCAATTTTCATTAATTGTATTGTTTTTGGGGGGAAAAAGGGTAAAAAGCCACACAAAAGATATGAAAATGTCACACTTGGGAACCCATCTCATTAGTACAGGTTGACAATTCCTTGTCCGAAAAGTCCTTGGGGCCAGAGGCATTTCGGAATTTTTCGGTTTTCAGAATGGTTAGGTTTTGTGTGTGTGTGTGTGTGTGTGTGTTAGCCCACCTGGGCACAAGTCACTGACCCACATTGGGGCCTGGGGACCACCACCCCCACCACAACAATTATAATTATAATTATAATAATAATAATAATACCTGTAATAATAATACACTGGTCAACAGCCAAAATGGTTCACATATGAGATCATGCTCACACAACTAATTTCATATTGCTGAATTCGAATCTGATATTTGTTTTGTTCTATCAGACCAGGTTTTATAAAAAAATCAATAGGTACAAATATTTAATATTCCATCACGTGTCGTGCAAAAGATGAGATTATCTCATGTGACTGTGCTTTCATGACTAATTTCATATTAATGAATATTAATTGGATGTTTCATTCTACCATCAGACCTACTTTCTTAAAGAATAAAAAAAATAGTAAATATAGTAACATTATCGCGTCATGCAAGATACAATTTTAAACCTATCACAGATAAGCTCATAAAAAATTGTACCAAAAAACATAAGTTCAAATCCTTTATAATGACAAAATATGAAGTTCTAAAAGTGCTTCTGAACTTTACTCTTTCTCTTGTACAGCTTGCTCTCTTCTCGTTGCAGTGTCCAGCAATAGTCGCCCATCATGTTAGGACTGAATTGTCCCTGATATCTGCTCTCCATTATGGCGATATCTTGATGAAATCTTTCGCCGTGTTCATCACTAATGTCTCCAAGGTTACCTGGGAAAAATTCAATATGAGAGTGGAAAAAATGCAATTTCAAGGACATCCTTGCTCCCAATGCATGATAATTCTGAAGCATGGTTGTTACGATTTCTTTGTAGTTGTCAGCACGATAGTTTCCAAGAAAATTCTTTGACACATTGACAAATGATTCCCATCCTTTTTTCTCCAGTGGGTTCAATGTTTTGGTGAATTCGCTATCATTAACTAGTATACGAATTTGTGGTCCATTCAAGACACCTGCTTTCAACTTGGCTTTGGCTTTCAGAGAGTCTTTTCCTGAGTCTATAAACAGCCTCCAATCCTCTGTCTTGTATGTTTCAGACTTGCAGAGTTGTTGCATGAGAGATACTGCATCCTCGCAATAACAAAGGTTGTTTGCCATCTTGAAAAATGCAGACAGCTGTCTATGTCGGTAACACGCTGTAGTGATATGCACTCCATCTTCTAGCAGGTTACGCTGCTTTAGTCTGGATCCC